AAAACCTCACGCTTCCCACTCCGACGGGCACGGAGGTGTGGCTTGAAGGCCGTGCATTGTCTAACGTCGTTTATTTTCGGCAGTCTTCGACACGGTGTTTGTGTGCGTGCAACTGGACGTATTGTACGACTCTACGAAGCTCGCACGAATCGAGACGAGCTGCTCCGAAATCGGACGAATACATAAGCAGCTGTTAATGAGAAAGTATATAGGTGTACAGGTATTTATGTACAACAGTGAATAACTGTACTTGTAAAATTTGTGTATAAATTATTTTGAATATGAATGAACAAAGTGCATTTATTATTTATTTATTTAATAAAAGAAAAAAATTTGTTTTCTTATCGGTTACCACGCTCAAAAAGTGTAACTTGATTTAATATCAAAGAAAAAGAAATACTGCATAAATAAAATAAATAAATAATTATAATTGCATAAGTTGATACAAAATGCTATGCAATAGCTTTACCGCGGCAGTCCCCGAGTGCCACACGTCTTTTTTATTGTACTATTGCTTTTAACCGGAAGTGCTGCTGACAATCTCCTGCCTGTTTCCCTTTGTTGCTTCTTACGACACCCTCGGAAAGATATGTGGTAGTAGAGATTCTTAACCCATTTTCCATTGCCATTACACGGCAAAAATAGTAATGAAATTAAAAACACACAACCATTCTTATTCGAGTTACATATTCCTCCATTCTCTCTCGGTACGGTATATATACGTACGGTAGTCTCGGTATGGTATATTTACGGTCTCGGTATTCGTGAACGAGGGCTGTCTAAGGGTTGTACTTAAGTTATGCCCTCACCCGTTCCCCATCACCTCTTTAGACCAAAAATCTTGCAAGAAGCGTTCTTTTATGGATTAAATTTGCCATATGATGTCGGCGTAAAAAAATGAATTACCCCATTTAATCTCCTGGTCATCGTAAGAGACAAATATTGTTTTATTATTGTTTTACTATTTATGAACGTACATTGATTTTCACTAGTCAAAAGTCAAATTTTAGTAACACTAAAAATTTTTCCAAATAATATCTGAATTTCTAGGGTACAAACACTTTGAAATACAGATTAATAATAAATACAATTCAGTAAACACCTATATCTGATATCTAGATATTAAATATCTATGTTTCAGACAGTACCGCTCTTCCCTTAAATATTATACATTTATGTATACAAGACAGATCACTAATCAAATTTAATTTTACAAATTTAAGAGTATAGGTAAGCCTCCTTGTGTGTATGTATGTGTGTAACAGTGTTTGTATGTGTGTAAGAGGTTGAGTATAGGTTTTACGTAGTGCATTCCGTAATTGTTCACTTTCGTTATAGTTTCGTTTGTGAATATATTCAAATAGGTTCCTTTTGCACTCTCTAATATTTAAACATTTTATGTCAATAATTTTGCTGATTTTAGGATATAGATATGGCCCAAAAAGGGAAAATATTTACGTGAGTTTGTATAAGTTGGTATAAATGTTGGTCTACTAGGGCTATTTATATCCCTGCAGCACTTGGAAGTCATGGCAATCAGAGATGCAGCCTGAGTGTTGTTTCATAATAGTGCGCAGGATGAACAGTTGGCGAATTAAGTATGGGATATTCCAAGCAATACTTATAGTTTTCGGTAAATGGCGGTATATCATCACGTTAAGAGTTAAAATAACAAAACTGACATTGGAAAGCAACGCTGAATGTTCAGAAGGTCTGGTCCTGCGATCGTGAATCAACCTGCTAAGGGTGACCATAAAAACAGGTACTATGTACAATAAAAGAGTCTCATTCCCAACTTTTATGAGCTGAAGAAGGATTTTCAAATTCCATTTCTGATTTCATTTGTTAACATCTATGTTATATCTATGATCCACAAAATAAATGATTCTCATTCTAGTATATAATGTTTTTAAGTTAATAAGATCAGAGTTAGAATTAAATACGATACGGTATTCACTGTAGAATTCAGGGTAACGAAACAAGCAATAAGATAATGTAACAAATACGCTTATAAAATTCGAAATGCTGGCAAATCCCCTAAGGTAGTGATAATGTATTTGTTACAACGATCTATTTCCATGCGAGTTTGCATTTATTCATTTCATTCATTACCACGGATTAAAAGTATTTTACATTTTATTCTCCCTAATGGATTGAATCATTGGGAAAAATATTTTCCATACTTACTACGCTTGGCGGGCGAGCGGCCACCACCAGTTTTCTTATTATAATAGACAGATATTGCTGACCTTCACCTGTTTGAATTTTGTCGTATCACGTGACCTACGGGGTGACTTAAAGTAGTGGATTCTCTCTCTCTTTCTTTCTCTCTCTCTCTCTCTCTCCACGCGACGACATAGATGTTTGAATACCAAGAATTATATAAACAAAATATTTAAAAAATACACATAAACAGAAGTAAAAATGCTATTTTTTAACATTATGTTATTAATTGTACATATATATACGCGACAATGCGCAAGAGGTGCTCGTCTCTGGTGCGCAGTGTACGGGGGAGCAACAATAGTATCCTGAAAGTGATTGCTAGCAGACTGGACTGCCTACTACCGCCTATATGCCATTGTAGTGCTATATCTGGTGGATAGGTAAGAAAATGGCTCATATAAATATAAATGTATTTATTTCTTTGTACTTCACAAATAATATTATGCCTACTAACATAATTATAAGTTTAGTTATAAGTAATACTAACAAAATATGAGCCTTGGTTGCTTAAATAAATGAAATTCTTCTTCTTCTTCATATAAAGAACATAACATAAGAAAAAATGAAACAGAAGATGATAAAGCTCAAACCTTAAAACTGCGGTTGTCGGTCAACAAACCTGCCAAGGCAATAGACAATCTATAAGGGACAGTAGATCCTCCTTACTGTCCCGTATGTTATCGTATGTTCAGCAGTATACGTTTAATAGACCTTGATTTTTTATTGTTTTTAATTGATAGATATTGAATGAGTGAATGAAACAGAAAAAGCAAGACCGCACATGGAATCTTCCAATTTGATAAAGATTTATAAGAACTGATGTATCCAAATGGACTGTTTCTGGGAATGAATAGTAACAATGAATAGAATATGAGCTTGTTTATTTATTCTTTGGAGGTACTTCTCGCCTCATTTGTATTGGAATATAAATGATAAATAAGAAAGAAAGTTACTATAGTCGTTCTTTTCCCATTGTATGTGACGATTTTTATTTTATTTATATTGTTTTTTCTTCTTAACCATCAAAAATATCTACGATTTCTAAGAGTACGAGCATGCGGTTTTAATGTTTCAGCGAGAAAATTCTTTGTTGATATAAGTAACGAAAAGATAGGATATCGATATTTTTATTTTTTTTTTTTTGGCGGGGGGAATTTCGGGTTGGTGCGTTTTACCTGCCTGGCTTTTCCCTGCCAACCCAGATAAGAAGCGATGAAAAACGATTATCTGAGATTCATAGAGAGGGAGGGCACACAGTAATCGTCGAATCCGGCAACTTGTTCCATCACCGGTACGGTAGGTCGGCAGTAAACAATTAATAAAATTTGTTAATAGGTGAAAATTATTATTTAGGTCAAAATTTCATTATTTTTAAGGACAGCGAAGCGATAATAATTAATGTCATTAATAATAGTAATGTGTTAACATTGTTGTATTGTCATTTATCGGAATATAAATCAATGTATACATATTTATGATATTGTTAATATAAATTGATAGGACCTTAAAGCTTAAAGGATTAACCGTTTATTATGCAAATTGACGATCTAATTAACAATCATTTATGGTTCAGTTAATAAATGAGAACTAGCTAAGGGTTGGTACAAAGTAATCATTAGTATAAACCACGAGGTAAACGTAATTCCGGCATTTTAATTACACTGTAAAAGCTTTAAAATCATTTTCGTTTCCCACTTTAAATAATAAACATAAATTCATATTAAATTCAAATCAAGTCAACTTTATTTTCAGACAATACTATTACTACAAGAAATGAGATTTTGTGTTCATAAATGATCTTAAACATATTACCGCTGAAAAAGCGAATGCTCTGTATAAGCCATTCGTTGCGATTATTGGCGCAATTTTCGATCGCATAATGTCTTCGGTGTATTTATGAGATTGCGTATGGTCTTTATTGCTAAAATAGGCCACGAAACCAACGAAAAAAATAATTGTAGATTTATCTCTTAAATATACATAGCTATTGTGCTTAATGCGTAAAAACATTGTGGGTGCTATTCGAACTTTCCTTTTAGTGGCCAATTGTAAGTTCGATTTTTTTTTAAATAAACAATTGAGTTTAACAAAAACGTGATAAGGTAAGATACATAATAGCATTATGAAAACCTTATACGTATAATATTGGCATCGATATCTTTATTAGTTCTCGAGATATGTGAGACGAAATGAGTCCACTAACTTACAATTGTACAGTGTACACACACAAATATTCATGCTCGTATGGAAGGAATACAGCTTATATACGTCCCATTGCTGGACACAGGCCTCCCCTCATTTCAGAGATGGTATTAGGACAACTAAATGTCCGCCGAGCTGCCCCAATGCGTGTTGGCGAACTTCACATATCTTCGAAATTTTCTTTTTTTCTTATTCCTCAGACATGCAGGTTTCCTTGTGACGTTTTTCTTCACCGGCGAGCACGTGGTAAATTAGCACTTAACCACCACATGAAACGCTGGTATTCTGTGAGTGCGTGGTCCTTCCCCGGTCGAGCCGACCTATTCGTGCTACAATTATACTACTAATATAGCTGCAGCAGGGCTCTACCGCGTATACAATATACACGGCATAGAAACAAAAGACGAGCGGGGAGCGCAGCTCTCGGTTGGCATCATTTGATCAGCCGTAGCGGAGTTTTGAGATGAGTATCGATGAAAAATACCCCATAGCGACCGTTTATGTTATACTTTTTTTGATAAACTTTAAATGTTTTTTTAATGTTTTAGCACTTCATTACCATAAATTTCCCAATGAGTCATAGCACTATAGAAGAAATATGTCTACAAGAAGATAGGGAGAATGAAACCTCATCAGAAACCAAGAATTATGGGGAGCATAGTAACTATGACAGCGATACTGAGCAGGAAGCGGATTCTGACGATATTCATAACATTCCCCTGCAGTTTGAAGAACTAATATTACCAGTGCAATTGGGTGAAGAGTATTTAGATGATGTTACATTGAAATAAATCAGGCGTGAAAATATTTCACTTTGGTCGAAATAGAAAATGCCTACGTTGTAAAAAATAATAAGGAACACTCAGAAGTTTCGAATGGCCTAAGAAAAGTTAGCCAAAAGTATATTGATGCCTCTTATGTACACCGCAGATTGCAAGTTGTTAATTTATCACAGACGATAAAAACTAAAATTTATTTCGGGTCTTGACGAAAACAACGAAAACAGTATGCCAAGCTCCTCAAAGTGCCAACTAAATCCATGCATGTCTCGATGTGAATACTGCAGTTGGAGGAAAGATCGGAAAACAAAGGCAGCTTGTGAAATAAGTCATAACAAATTATGCCGAGAGCTTACGGTTTGTGGCAGTTGTTTCCAAAAAATGAAAAATAATTAATTACATTTATAGTTTGAAACACAAGGACTTTGAAACGGAGATTTTGTGATTTTTGATCCCCATTTACCAAAAGGACTTTTATTATAAATGTACAATTTATTTTTATTTGTTTCTAAGAGCATGGTGTCTTGTTATCTGATCTCATTTTGCACGTTTGAAAGGAAAAAAAGAATTATTGAGATTTCAAGATTATAAAAATGTTAAGTTTTTGGTTCACTTTATTGAATGTGCTTTGAATATTAGTAAATAACTTTTATATAAATGTTATTTTTCATTTGTAGTTTATATTACAAGCGAACAAAATAAATTTAAAAAAATCGATATTAATATCCAGGTATTTAAATGTGGTACCTTTTACTCGTTTTGTTCGTCATTACCTAGCGACGAACTCCGGATTAAATTTTGCTAAAATGTAAAAAAAAATTAAAAATTAAAAACACTTAAATTCTTTCCACATTTCTACTTCTGAAATCGTTGCTAAGGCACTCTATCAAACAATTAAAGCCCATACTTTTGACTCTTTTTGGTGTTTGAAGTCGGCCATTACTTTTTATCAAAAGTTTAATTACACCCTTTTGGGAGGACTTAAGAATATTACAAGTTCAATGATCAAGATAAGAACTAGAAAGTCGTCTAATTAGTTACATTTAAAGTTTTCATCCCCTATTTTTACACTTTATAGGTAGAAATTTTCTATTAAATTTATTGAGTATCACCTCTGAAGTTTTTTCTAGAATATGAGCGGCAGTCGAGCACACAGACCATCTGATGGTAAGTGCATGTTGTGGCCCATCGATACCTATGTATATACCTCGATTAAGAATCAAAATGCTAATGCATTTTCACCCTGGAGGACTAAGCTGGAATGCTTTATTAACTGCAAAAAGGTTTCCGATTCTCTACGCTCACCATACGAAACACAGCCGTAGTAAAGTGGTGGTTACATACGAACAATTCATACTGGAACGATGGTTCGTAGATAGACTATTCGTACTGGTTTCGTACACAGTTGCTGTACCGCGTTAAAAGTAAACTCTTAAGTTCCGTTCAGATCTACCAGCACGTAGCGGGCCCAGCACGTAATGTGACAGACACCGTACAGGCAACAGTATTCTTCTTCTCAACATTCTTGTTGAGAATGCTGGCCGGTGCCTGCACGTGTCTGCGCGGACACGCCCCGCTTGCGTACACTAGATATGAATATATCTACAATGTATAAAAGAATATTATTTTGTCTGGCACGCCACGTGTCCTGCATGCGCAATGTCTGTAGATCTGAACGGAGATTCACGGGCTGATGAATAATTTTATGTATTTATGAGTATATTTAAATTTGAAACTCCAAAATTAGGACTACAATACTGCAACTTCTCAATGTGATTTCTATTTATTTTCAGCATTGCTAGCTTATGATTGCATGCTTTGATTCCTCCCTCTCTTTTTCCACTATCGAACAACCAAGCGGTCGGCGAATTTTCACCCCATGGTTTTCGATACTCCACGCATTAGAACTAAACGGTTTGCTTCATCTTTTGTCATGCGTACAGCAAAGGAGTGGAGTAACTTGCCGGCGTCTACCTTTCCGTCCGAATATAATCTGGAAGTCTTCAAAGCAAGAAGCAAGAAGTCTTATTACGTGGTAGATCCATGCTGCAGTTATATTAGTAGTATAGTTGTAGCACGAATGGGTCAGCTCGACCGGGGAAGGACCACGCTCTCACAGAATACAAGCGTCAAACAGTAGCTTAATGCCGCAGTGTTTCGTTTGGTGAGTGTAGAGAACCGGAGACCCTTTTACTCGAAATGAGGCATTCTACCTAAGTCCTCACGGATGACAACGCATCTGCATTTTGATTCGTAATCGAAAATAGATGTAGATGTCTATGAGCAACAGCAAGCACTTACCATCAGGTGGACTGTGTGCTCGTTTGTTATCCTATCCTATATAAAAAAAGACTGAATAGGCTACCATAACTCTGAGAAAGTGCGATTTACTATCTAGTACTACATTACACATACCATCAGAGTTGGTAGATTATAATGTCAGCAAATGAAACTGCTTTGTAAATAAAGATTTACTTTATAACACTTTTTCTCAATATATACCCCTTCTGGTGTCGGAAATACACCAGGAAAGTTTACTGTTAAAAATAACTAAAGTGTGAAAGATGTTCAACTTGCTCCCTTGTTTACGCAACTAATCACTATCAGTAATATGACAGCGTAACGGCACTATACATTCAGTATAGAGCAATTACAGTTCGACCACATTGTAAAACGTCCCCGCCACAATCACACACCAGTGTACTGTGAGTCCCTCACGTAATTACACGGCAACACCAAAGTACGCAAACTTGCTTTTAGTTTGCGTACTTCTACACCATACATCTCGGTAGGTACAACACAGAGCAGCTTCTCAGCAACACCATCTTCCTTGCCTGCACCAGAAGAACCACCTAAACGGACAGAAGTACGATACCATCTTAGCAATACTACTACGTAGAATTATTTCGACGGAATCTTTGCCGCTCGGCACCTACACTGAACTTTATACTGCACAAACGAGTAGGCGGTTTCCCAATCTACCCCCAATTCATCACTACCATCATCCATGTTACGCTACGCGAGAGTGACGCAACTTTTCACTCATTCTCGATCCAACCGGTATTTGATAAACGCGCCAAGAAGAAAAAAAAGGCTGGCTAAGGGATCTCACGCATGACTTTATTAGTACACAAGTACGTAGTAGTAAGTTGTTAAACGTACTAAAGTTAGTGCAAAGTTGTGATTTTGAATTTTAACACTGTTATGCTAACCCCCTTATTCATAAAAAATTTAAACGCTTGATTAGTTAAATTGTGTTTTGTCTCATTCTGACATTCGCGAGACACTTGCTGCTAGAAAGTGACAAAACTATTTAACTAATCAAGTGTTTAAAAATGTTTATGAATGAGGGGGTAAGCGCTTACTGTATGTACTGTGGAAATGTGAGCTGTTTGAGAAATATAAATCGAATATAAATCCGCCTATCAGGCGTCGCAAATCCTCCCTACAACTGGAGAGGACCATGTCCGGCAGTGGATGGTTGATGACTATACATATTCACACGAAATAATTTAAAAAGCTTTCTATGATATAAAAATATAGCTCCACTTAACCTACTTTTTTCGGATTGCGGACTTATGGTTTGGGTTATATTAATGTATACACTACTGTTTCTGAGAACGAAAGTTTATGAGGGTTTTAAGGAAAACTATTTCTATTATTCGCGTACTCCCCGCTTAATCGGCTTATTTATATAGTACTTTGGAATGGGGCTTATTTATATAGTACTATATTTAGCATGCAATATTGTGAAATGTTTCAATTTAATAAGAAATCACAACAATGTGTGTCGTTAAAATAATCTTCATCCTCCTCAATAACCACCATTCTCGTCTCTTAATGTTTTTTTGTGTCGTTCACAACCGTCCAGCATAACTTTGGGATAATGTTGTATTCATTGATGGAACACGGCTAAACGCCAAACACACTGTACCGCAGGCACAGATGACACGTGTTCGTGGATAAAGGTGGACGCCTCATAATTTGCCATGTGGGATCCGTCGGAGGAGGGTTTCCGTCGGAGGAGGGTTTGTTCAAAATACAACAACTACACAAGGAGTGATTGGGCCAAAGTGATGGAGAAAACAAAGAAAATTGACCATACCTACCATGGCGAGTTGATGTAATCGCCACATTGACAAGAGTATTGTCAATCGCGTTACCAGATGTCTCGCACCTTTGCCTGCATTTACAAATTAACGGCGATGGCATTAATTTGCATGTATCACAAACGTGATAGTAACTTCGCCTCCTCTCTAATACCTATATTTAAGTCACCTTTTTCGGTACCAACGGGATCTATTTCAGATTACATTGTATTAATAATATACACAGGACGAACGAACAACTATTACAGACGGGTCAGTTTCGCTTTGCTTAGCGTTCTACCGTGGCGCTATGAAGATCAACAGGTTGTATTCTTGCTTTTTAGCCCAATTAAGCGTTTCTTTCGATAAGATCAGATGTACGAGCACCTTTTGACAATTAAGATACACTATTTATTCATTCATATCATTTTCATCATCAATCGCCATCATCAGTCACTGACAACTTTAACAACGCTGATAGATAGAGAGGTACTCGGATATAGTACAAAGTAAGTATGTTATATGATATTTGAATGCACACGACCATCCTTGCAATATTGGTACATTTCATCATCATCGTCATCATGATTACAGCTCAAGTTCTCTTTTGAATATAGGCCACACCATAGATTACCACAAAGAACGGTTCTGAACGTCCTGCATCAATATTGATATATTAATTAAAATCTGAAAACAAAATACCTACTTTAAAATTAATGTTTGTTTATTGTACACGCTGAAGCCGAGTCAAGTTTAAACGACACGTAAAATACTTTGCGAACAGAATGTGATTTCGCGAATTCGGGGTCAGGCCATATTAGTAAGTTGTTAATGCTTAACTAAGCCAGTAAACTGTCTTCTATGTTCAAGGGAAATTGTTAACTTAAGTCGTAATAATTAAAAATAAAAAATGAAGTTGGCAGT